ATATCAGGGTTGTCTCATAAGTCCTGGCCGATTTTCCTTCAAATTCAAATTTCTTCATGCAAGTTGGCTTTATAATGAACTATATAGAACTCAAATGCGCATCGGAAGAATTAGGTATAAATCGAAATACATCAACGACCAAACCAAACAATTTCGCCTTACGACCATCCAACACGTTGGCAACATCGCGCGCTTTTGCTCTTTTGGCCGCGTGGGAGCTTTGCGAGCGCCGCCGCCTCACACAAATCCATGGATTTTGAGCTGTAAATACGCAATACTTAGATGCGACAAAGTGTTTTCAATAATGTTCGATCTGTCTAACTTATCGGGAGTTACAGTAATGGAAGTTCGACCGAAATGACGTGTTAAGGCCATGAAAAGGCAAATTTTACTTATTTTCGCTTGAGTAATTCCAAAATTACACGTTGACGACATCGCGTGTTTTGGCATTTTGCACCGCGTGGGACAGGAGCGATTTTGCGAGCGCGCCGTCCTCACCTTACTTCCGCTTATTTTTTGTTTAAAATGCACAACAACTTGAATCTCATAGAATTATTTCGGCAAGGATGAAAGCATAAAGGTTAACTATATAAATGGCAGTAGATTTTTGTTTAGAAGAACGCATAATGACCACGAAGAAGCAAAAAACATCACTTTCGCTGCGAATGAAGTTAAAAGCATTTATACCTAAGTTCTTCCATCAAATAAAAACTCACAGAGTTTTGTATTAACTTCTTCTACAATCTTTCATATGAATGTTACGACAGTGAAAGGAAAGGAAAACTAGGAAAGAATTGAATGAAAGTTTTGTGCGTTCAGAAAATTTGCTAAATCAAGGATATTTGACCACTCTGGTGCCATGTGGTTTATAGTTATGCTAATGGGGTATCTATAGAATGAACACAAACAGGGGAGCGTGCAACAGAATCGTCCGTCGCGCGCGGCCACTTGCGCGGCGCCGTGACGCGGCACTTTTTCGATGGGCGCGGCAACAGTAGACTTTGTCGATTGGAGCGACAGATTTGCTGCCGTCCACATTAAGCCTTTTGGCGCTGGCCCGTCAACTTTAACGTTTTATTTTCTTCTTATTTTTAGGCCCGCTTCATTGCTGACGGCTCGTGCGGTCTTAAGGGATCAAGATCAATAGTTTAATTGAAATTTCAGGTACGCGAGGGCGGAGGAGACGGCGCCCGTGGTGTGAATAAATTCCGAGTTGGTCAGCATACTCCTGTAATACAAGTTTCGTTATGGAATCATTCAAAAACCAAGACAGCGACTCAGCCGCATTAACTGATTAAGCACATTCCCCTACCGGCTTCAGATGGCTTCCGCCGGCCATGTTATGAGCCTAAAATGTTAAAGGGAGGAGTCGGGGTAGCCCCTGTGAGAAATCGAATGACGCTCAACTCGTCCACTACAGTCGCGACGTCGCGGCCGCGACCACAAGCGCGGGGCTCCGGACGATTCTGTTGCTACACACCCACACAAACACATGAATACAAAAAGACTGGAGAAGGAAAAATGAATGATATGATTCTGACGCCCATGCGCGTCAGCCTGTCGCCAACGTGTTAATCGTGGTTGTATCTGTGAAAACATGCATCTTGCCATGCGACTAACAACAAGTTTGTAGTCACTTCCGTTATTCTTTTTATCTACATGTTTACGTTAATGAAGAGAAAATGAGGAATGAACTGAACGGATATTTTCGTCCGGTCCGAAAAACCTCTGCCAAACTAAAGAATATTTGGTCATTCTATAAGCCGCGTGGTTCTTGGTTATGTTGATGTATGGCCTATAAATGAACACAAAAAACCTGGGAAGAAATGGCGCGTTGCGAAAAAAAATGTAATGGGTGTGGCATACTATAGTTGCCACAATGTCCGACGTGGTGCGAAAACGGTGGCATACATAGTTGCCGCGCTGTCGTCAAGGTGTTAAAGAAGAACCTTGCAAGAAGCGCGGTAAGCAAGATAAGCGAGCTATTGGCTCGATAGCACTGGCAAAGAAGATAGGACCTGCAAAGTTCGACTCATCGTAGACTTCCAGTCACTTTCTATGAGGCTATGGGTCGAAGGTGCATCCGGGCGCTATTACAAGAAAACTGTAGCAAACATCTGCACGCAGCCTACGCTGGCGGAATGATGTCTCAATGGAAACCGCCTGCATCAGTTGATAATGACCGAGAAGCACGCCTGACCATCTGCAGAAGTTTCATTCTGCGACCGTATAGATAGGACATTCCCTAGTTGGTCACCAGTGCAGATGAGTCATGAGTCCTACCACGATAACAACACGCGGCACGCCTAGTGGCTACCTTGCAGCCTGGACCCACCTTTCTGCAGATGAACGCCCGACCCCACATTGTAAGGATAGCTTGCAGTTTTGAGGGGAACTGGCGGGCCGCGATACCACATCCGACGTATAGCCCTGACATTGCTCTATCGTACTGTTCCTCCCCAGCGCACTGAAGCTGCAGCCACCAGAGAAAAGCTCAGTGAATACAGCCATACCAAAAACGACCTCTCCAAACTCTTCGTCCCACAGCTTCACTCGTGGAAGGAATGCATACATCCGTTCTGGCGACCAAGCAGTTTTTGGGTGTTCCCGAAAATTGCGTCCTAATGCTGAAACGCTTCCATACAAATCAATGAGAACACAATGCGGAAACTGCTGAAACATCATTTGTCTCGTACAAATGCTTAATGGCTGCAAACCAAGCAAAAATCTCCCCGTCCCGCAAAGGTGAAACTTCGGAACGCTCTCGGAAATTCCAATTTTCCACTGTAGAATCCACAAATGAGGTTGAACACAAATCTCTTTTTTGCCAATTGTTGTATCATTGAGCTAGCTAATAGCATACAAAAAGGCAGCTTTCTACATCAAGAAAGAACAACCTTATCACTGAAGAAGCAATTCAAAACTTTCACTGTGAAAGATGTTCAAAGAACGTGGCCATTACAAGTTTGACAACGTATTCCGGGTTAATATAGCACCGCTCAAAATTTGGAATATGCGCAAAGGAATAAAATTCAAGGGGTGTCGCCCGCCATCGGGCGACATTGTCGCCAATGTGTTAACCAGCAAACGGATGCATATTAGGGATTTTGATGGCGCTAACATTTTTGATCAATTGTTTTTCAGGGAAGATTGAACTTGAAGAAACCAAAGTGCCGAAATTCGGCAAGAAATTATGAGGCAACCCTATATTCTACTGGTGAGTTCTCATAGAGTACCATTTTGAAGGAGCCTACCATGACCAGGTGTCACTTCCAATTCAACAATCATATCCTTCCACCAATCCACATTTTTATTGGACAATGCTTCTTCTGCCTCTTGTCGATAAGTGACGACAAATTCTCCAAGGATTCGCTCGGCATTTGATAACTAGAACGATGGAAATGTGAGGAGTGCTGAATTTCACGACGTTTGTGCCCCATCGCTACAGCCCTTGTGAGTAAGCACTTCACAATATTTAGAAGACCTTTAGATTGAGACAAACCTTAGTTTTTCTATGGAAGCATTCGATATCTTTCTGATTTTCACACAGCGAGGCAATCATCAGCATTGGCTCGAGGCCAGTCTTGTATTTCGTAAACACCTGAACATTCATAACCCATATTTCTCGATAATCAACAACTTGGATTACGCAGAAGTGAAACGCAAGTAACGCAGGAGGTAATCTAATAAAGAAATCAAGCGTATCAGACCTTTTGTGTATAAAAGTGGCTCAAATACTAGAGAGAGGCTCGAAGGTGACTACTGTTAGCGCTGACCACTCTATGGTTCAAGATTTAGAGTTACACCGTTAGATTAATTTGAAAATCTGCTTGGTGACCGACCAGCAGAAGGACGGACCTACCACCGCATGGGCCTGATGTCTCCTTTTTACAGCGCCTTTTTTTTAAAAAACGACGTCTCGTTTGCCCGGCTGTTTCTGTGAGTGGTTAGCACTAACAGTAGCCAGCTTCGAGCATTTCTTTAGTATTTTAGTCAGTTTCATACGCAAAAAACTGATGCGATTGATTCCTTTATTGCTCTCTCCAGCATCCTCGCATATTTCTTCTATACGATCAGAGGGTGCGCCTTCTTGATATACCAGTCTTTGTGAGTGGAAGTGCTGTTTGCTTGGGGGATGCCAATCCAAAAAAAATACTCGAATCATTACTTTCCTTGCTCAAAGTTCCACTTCCATTGACACCACTACTGGATCGTGGAAAAAAGTTGGAGGAACAGAAAGAAACGCGGAAAAAAATTACAGAGCAAGTAATCTAGCACATTTCTACTCACACCAGCACTAAAAAGTGCACGGATGCGAGTTTGCATGGTACGGTGATCTTCAAAAGCAATACACGTGCGAAGCCACAACATGAGCTTCCTGATCAACACCTCTTATTGTTACTTTGAAAAGGGATTCCACGATAAGAACGAAGGTCGAAGAAGGGGAAACCTACCTAGTGGAGAGACAGGCGGACCCCTTAAGGGTACAGGATAGGAAAGGTTATGCCCCCGACGTTCTATAATAGCACGGCCCTTCCTTCGGCAAAATTCGCCCGGAACCTCCAGTGATTATCCGATCACTCGCCGAAGGCTATACGCGGCGAGTGATCAGATAGCAGAGCATTAGTTTGAAGAGGGCAGCATCGATGAGAGTCGCACCGGTGCGGAAATGAGCAAGGAAAGGTCCCATCTCTTGAGTTCCTGGCCCTTTCTCATGGTTTCTTCTTCATCCTTGCTACACTGACCACCTCCTACCCTTATTTCCAATGAAGTACCTTTTCACTGATCATTTAAGTCGATCGATATACTCACCCGAGCGAAGCGATCCACATCACACTTTTCCGGTAGTCCAAGATATTGTTGTAGCTTACATTCCTCTATCATGCACCGAATCACCTAAATTCAATCCAGTTATTGAGTGTGAGAAATACTGGATCTGGTGTTGTTTAGGCGAACTATTCGAACGCCTCTCACTCCATACGCCCACTTTGTACAAATCTTTGAAAACACATGGAAAGCTAGGGTGCAGTGGACAGGAGTTCGCATTTGCGATCGGAACTGACGAGAAGATTTAAGTGGCCTATCTACTGAATGGCCATCAGCCATCGTTGGTTGCTCCACTTTAAGTTTCTACCATAAGTGAGTTTCAAAAACGACAAACTGCAGTGAAAATACTTGAAAAAAAAAATCAGTAAGAGCTCGGAATTTTCCGAAACGGGCCGTTTTTACAAAAAAGGATATGCTTATAAGAACGCCCCTTATCACTCGCCCATCAAATCAGGAGAACAACGATTAATAAAAACTAAAAAACAGTAGATTCAGATGATATAGGAGGAAACAAATGGTCAAATCAACTACGGCTGTCGCACACAAATGAATAGTGCGCAACGCCCCACCGCTCGCTCGTCCAACGAACGTATTTCAAGGAAGAAGAATTCCGTTTGATTCTAAGATTTTCAGAAGCTTATGCGAAAAGAATATAGAGGTGGAAGTCGTCGTAGCAGATGCGCGCGAAATAGCTACGAGAGTGGTCCAGGGATCAAATATTGGATAACTCGTCCCCTCAGCCCTTTCCGGAAATTTCTCCTTCCAGGTTTCTATGCACTGACAAACTAGAAGATTAACCACTGAACTCGCAGATGCCGCGGACTTGCAACACTCATTCATACGCAAATCGCTCAATTCCATTTTACGGTATCTGAACTGGAATCTTGTTTGTATTGTGTTTTGCGATATGTGGGCATTCCAACCAGGTATTAAATACCGACAATGCTTTACCCCTCTCTTGATTTATTGTGCTCGACCTACAACGCAACTCCAGTACTATGTTGCCAAAAAAAATTCAAAATCCATGTTGAATAACGCTTATCGATGCAACATGCGCCAAATTTCAACAAGTTGCAATGCGATAAAACAACTAACATGATCTGCCATGCGACCAACGACTATTCGTTTCAGCTCTGTCCATATGCGCTCGGCACTGATTCCCTGAATTTTCTTCACATTTAAGAACACTGCACATTACTTCGATCTATCAGGGTGTCCCAAAAGTTCGTGTCTTTTTCGAAGATTTCTTTGAGCTATCCTCATTTCAATGAGATGCAGTATCTATCAGTAGTATATGAACAAACACTAACGGTGACTTATGGTTAGTGCTTGAGATCCACCAAAGAATCGATGCCGTGCTCCGAATAGGTCGCCATGTTTCAACGGTTATCTGCCTATCTGAGGTGTATACCTGAAACATTACAACGCGGTAGTCTACAAAGTCGCTAGACTCCTGCGAGTTGGCTCCAATGAAAAAGCGCGCTTGGTTTGAATCCGACGCCAATGGTCCTCTTAAAAAAGGTTTTCTTCAAGGACATAGTCCCTGGGGGAAGCAGATTTAAGCAGTCTGATACTGCACGGTGGATGACGTCAATAAGATGTATTGCAAAGAAACGTTACTCCTGCCTTCAAACGGTTAGCGGCTCAGTAGAAGTGCATAAATCAAAACATGGAAAACTCATGGCTCTTTCTTGTTTTGAATTCGAGGAAGCAACTAGGACGGACATGATTTGGTTGCAGCTTATTTCACGCAATTCTTCGGAGCCTACGCGAACATATTCAGAAAACGCTTGATGAACTTCTGGCGAGAAATCCAAAAAAAGTGGCACGAACTTTAGGGACACCCGAATAGTTCATTTTTCTGACATAATAGCCAATCTTCAGAAAAGAATTCTTATCGAACAATATCATACCCAAAAATAAATCTTCTTTTCCATGAAGATCTATGAACTTTCAAGACAGACACCATAAGTTCTCACCGCTAACCCCTGACTGTTTTCTTTGATGGCTTTCAAAGTCTCAGCATCATGTTGAGTTGACTCAGAAATCCGCCCAAAGAAGCGAAAGTACCTGGAAAACCGTTAAAAAGTTTATTTATTTGTTCATAATGTTCTTCGGTCGCATTGTATCCATAAATAAAAGCGTTATAAAACTCAAAACAATGTGAACGCAATGGATCCTAACTGCAGATTACAATGCAAGTATTATCAAATCTTATTCAAATTTCAAGTTTGACGTCTAATTGCTTCCAACAGTTGGTTATTATTATTAAGGTTTATAATTGTTACTAAACTCAAATCATTGCGCTTCCTACCCGCCGGTACGATTAACCAATTGACGTACCTCCCTAACCGACACCTCTTATTGTTACCTTGAAGGGGGTTTCCACGATAAGAACGAAGGTCGAAGAAGGGGAAAATTGCCTAGTGGGAGACAGGCGGACCTCCTGAGGGTGCTGACCGACGCGCAATTGGCAGCGAAAGATTTGACCTCGGCGATCTAGCATGGCTCACTCTTGGCGCGGTTGGCGGGGTACGCCCACCGACTATCTAATCACTCGCCGCAGGTCTATACGTGGCGAGTGATTAGATAGCAGAGAGAGCGTTGAAGAGGGCACAGCGATGAGAGTCGCATCAATGCTCAAATCAACGGGCAAGGAAGGGGTCCCATTTCTCGGGTTCTGGGCCGTTTCTCATGGTTCTTCCTTCTTTCGTGTACCACTCCTTAACT